TAAATCCTTTGGAAGTTTTGGAAGTTTGGCTCGAGACTCATGCTTTAAATGGGGGTAACTGCTGGAATCCTGACAGCTAGCCGACTCTGAGATACATAATTTTCCCGTGCTATTGGGGGGGGGCAGGATAAGTCTAAGATACACGGAGAACCTCTACACCTCGGGTTAAGGAGTAATATGGAGGGATGCATCTTTGGTTCAAGTATCTGGTCATTTGGCCAGTGTTCTCCATAGGAGGAAAGATTTGTGGACTTGGGCCAGTCCTCAAATCTTCTTGGCATCATTGTTTTATTGGTTAGATGCAGATTCTGCTCTCTGAAAGCAAGGCAGGCAATCAGCAACAGCTCAGAGTGTGCACTACAACAACAAGACACAGACCAAGGCCCTCACGCAAAGGTCAAGGGGAATGGCATCCTTTGCTATCTGCAGATTGAGAAGATTAATGACACCTCGGAGGTGTGAAATGCCTCCTTGTCTCTCTCACCACAGTGAGCACCGGAAGCGGGTGCGTCTCCAAGGATCGGGAAACGGGGTCTTAAGTAAGGCTTCCATTCCCACAACATGTTTATTTGGGTCAATGAAAGACCCAGTATTTGCATTTATGCAGCATCCCTAAGTGGGTCAGGAATAACTCCTACTTGTTTTGTTGTTGCTGTTGTTGTTGTTGCTTACTAAAACATTAGGAGCCCATCCCATTTTGTTAGTTTATGGTACATTGTATTGAGCTGCGGTGGCGCAGTGGTGAGAGTGCAGTACTGCAGGCTACTTCTGCTGACTGCCAGCTGGCTGCAATTTGGCAGTTCGAATCTCAGCAGGCTCATTTTGACTCAGCCCTCCATCTTTCCGAGGTGGGTAAAATGAGGACCCAGATTGTTGGGGGGGCAAGAGGCTGACTCTGTAAACCGCTTAGAGAGGGCTGTGAAAACACTGTGAAGTGGTATAGAGTCATGGTGGCATAGTGGTTAGAATGCAGTATTGCAGACTGACTCTGCCTACTGTCAGCAGTTCGATCCTGACCGGCTCAAGGTTGACTCAGCCTTCCGTCCTTCCGAGGTGGGTAAAATGAGGACCCAGATGGTTGGAAGCAAGGGGCTGACTCTGTAATCCGCTTAGCGATGGCTGTAACAGCGGTATATAAGTCTAAGTGCTATTGCTATTGTATAAATCCAGAAAAGGGGCTTACTTCAGTATCCAGGTTTTTGAATGCAGCTAGAGAATGGTTCTGCACACCACGGAGGGGCAATGGGTACCATCCGATAAGCAAAGACTCAGGCCAAGCTTCAAGTGAAGGTAGCTTCTCCCTCTCGTGCCACATTTGCAAAAATCCGCAGATTAGGTTGACCAAATTTGATTAAAAAGTGGCCGAGCAACTCTGCAACCTTTTGAAGAGCGGCCAAAACAGGCCAAAGCAGACTTGGTCTCTTCCGGTGAGAAGAAGCATCCCTGAAGCCTACAGAGAGTTGGCAGCTTGAGCTGTGGCTCTCTAAACTTTTGCTAGGAAATGCTCACACATCAGACTCCATTTAGACCTCAGTTGGTCCATCTCCTGCAGGAAATATCATTCCATAGTTCTGAGATATATATATATATGTTGTGGCTCGGAGGTTTGAGCCTGCTTTGTCAGAGGTCGAGGACTTGGACAATGAGGAAGAGGAGGATTTGGCTCTGAGGTTTGAGCCTGCTTTGTTAGAGGATTTGGAGTTGCCTTCCTCCCCAGGACTTCCCTTGTTGGCAAGACCTTCCTCCCTGATTGTGCCTCAGGTGTCGGCAGATAACCAGGAGAGTGTATCAGAGTCTCTGACTGAAGATCAAGCTGAGGAATGCTGGCTTGATGCGAGGCAACGGCACAGGAAAAAGTGTGAGTTGCAATGCAGAAAGAAAGGATGAATCAGAGACTGAGATGAGGGACTGACACACCCCACAGGGAATAAAAGTGGGTGTGTTCGCTCTGAGAACTTGTTCGGGACAACGTGTTAATTTAGTGAGAGAAGCTTCAAGTATCCTGTGTGCGGTGACGGCTTGTGATTTATGTTCCTGCTTTATTGTCGGACTTGGCAAACAGCTTGTGTGAGACTTCCAAGAACCTTATCGGCTTAAGGGATTTAACCCTGAAATTACTGGACTTGCTTGCTTGTTTGTTTTCACTTGGAAATTTGGACTTCTCACCTCGTTGGTACAGGTAAGACATAACATATATATATTCCAGAACTGAGGAAGCATAGCACTTGAAAGAGCCCTTTCTAAGTCAGGTTGGATTGTCACAGCATACTACCTAGACCAGGAATCTCCAAACTAGATGATTTTAAGACTTGTGGACTTCAACTTTCAGGATTCCCCAGCCAGCATGACTGGCTGAAGAATTCTGGGAGTTGAAGTCCAACAAGTCTTAAAACTGTCCAGTCTGGAGATCCCTGGACTTGACCAAAACAGACTAAACTCATAAAGATGTTGGAAGTCCACAATTATCTTAGCTTATTCAGTGATTCAAGGCCCACACATTAAGCCAATGTATGGCATTCTTGGTATGTCCTAGGAATTTAGGAAATATATTTTATTATTCTAGTTACATATGATGGATGCCACAGCTGGCTACCAAGGTATCCTAACTTGATTGATGTTTTGCCATACCGAATATTGCAATAATCATCAATCAAGTTAGGATACATTGGTAGCCAAAACATAAACATTGCAAGAGTGTTTTCTTAAGCCAGGTTTACAATTGTACAAGACATGCAAACCCAGATGCAAAACTGCAGCCCTGCAAGGGACATAATTGGGAAAATTAGAGACGAGTTTCTCAGCCATGGAAATTTTCAGATGTGTGGACATTAATTCCCAGAATTCTCCAGTCATGGAAGTTGAAGTCCACACATCTGAAATTAACCAATGGTTGGAAACACTGGCTTAGAGTAACCAGAAGGAACTTTTTGGTCCACTATGCTGATCCTGAGGGTTGAAAACAAACCAAGCTGTAGTCTGTAGGGGTTCTCAGTCATCCAGGTCATGGTTGTCCCAAAACTGCTTTTTCAGGAGGTAACTGGACTTTCTTGTTTTTTTCTTCGGAAGACATTTCACTTCTCACCCAAGAAGCTTCTTCAGCTCTGACAAGATGGCGGGGAAGAGAAGGATTCATGTTCCTTGCAGACAGCGGGTCATTTGCCTCCTTTTAGAGGGTTGTTAAGGGCACTTGGAGGGTTTATCTGTGACCCTGGTTCCTGTAGCCATCCAATGAACTGGAGGACTGAGAATCTCTACAGATTTTTAGCTATACAATTTGGGATGAACATCTTTTGAATGGTGTGGGAGTAGGAAGGGATTCCCAGAGGGAAAATTGCAGGCTACAGGAACCATTTGCACTACTCAGGTGACCCTGAAGACACAGATAAACCTCCAAGTGGCCTCAACGACCCTCTAAAAGGATGCAAACATCTTCAAAAGAAAAAAAAACCAAGAAAGTCCAGTTGCCTCTTGGAAAAAGGACCTTTGGGGAAACCAAGCCAGGAGACACTACTGCTGCGTTCCCAGTTCTCCCCCAAGGCATAGGTGGTCTGGGAAGCCTCCTGTGCAATGAAACCTGAACAGGTGGGCTGTTCTTGTCCGCTCCAGCTACTTCTCATCCCAAGCTGCCTGCTTTCAGCTCAGAGAGGCAGGCTGGATGAGTCTCAATGGGTTGGAGAGGAAGGGGAATAAAAGAGGCAGTTGCTTCGGCTGGCCACCCACTCCTTGGTGTCTCCAATGTTTCCTTCTCTGCATTTGGGATGAGCAAGGTGAGTCACTGTCTGATGGCAAAGGCATCCCCCACCTCCAGCCTCACTTATGGGCAGCACCGGCAGGGAATACTAAAGAAGGACTACAAGGACACAGGCTCTGTCCTTATTCTACGTTATTCTCCCAGTTGGTTTCTCCTTTTCTCTGCAGTTCTTTCGGCAATGCTTAATTGCATGATTTAAAAGCCCACACCACACCGAGGTGGAGGTGATGGAGCCCAGATTAAAGGGTTTCAAAGGGGACAAGACCAATTTGTGGAGGCAAAGGAATTGAATTCCTCCATCCTATTAAAAATTAAGCAATGGATGGTAACTTGTACTGGCTTTGCTGGCGATACCACACCCTTCTTGATTCATGATTAGCCTGATATCATTTCAGGGTGGGACCCCTCTACAAAAAAAACATGTTCTCAACTTGCAGGACATGATGGGCTCTTTGCTCTTTGTCCCCAAACCTAAACCTCCACCAAAACTACAAGTTGACCAACGTGCTGTTAACTGTACAGAATAAGGAACGAGCACTCGCTCCAGGCTCAGCGAAATTCTTCTGTATTGGAGCTTCGGGCGTTTCTGAGAAACAGGATTTTATCTGGTACCCAGTGGAAATAAATCAATAAATAAAATAAAATGTATGGGACGAAATGTCTCACGTGATAAAATACGAGGAAGCTGTAGCTTTTACAAATGGGGGCACTATTCTATAGTCCTGCAATCGTGAGCCCTGGTGGTGCAAGTGGTTAGAATGCAGGATTGCAGGATGACTTCTGCCCACTGCCAGCAGTTCAATCCTGACTGGCTCCAGGTTGACTCAGCCTTCCATCCTTCCGTGGTGGGTAAAATGAGGACCCAGATTTTTGGGGGCAAGAGGCGGACTCTGTAAACCGCTTAGAGAAGGCTGTAAAGAACTGTGAAGTGGCATATAATTGCCAAATGCCAGCAGTTCAATCCTCACCAGGCACAAGGTTGAGTCAACCTTCCATCCTTCTGAGGTTAGTAAAATGAGGACCCAGATTGTTGGGGGGAAGGCAATAGGCTGATTCTCTAAACCCCTTAGGAAGTGTGGTAAAGCACTACAACACGTTGTATATAAGTCTAAGTGCTACTGCTATTAGCATCCTGGCTCAACATGTGCTAGATGAGTTCAAAAGGCAATTCTGAGTTCCATGAAGGACCAAACGCAAATCTCCACTACTCAGAGCAGACCAGAGCAATGCAAGACAACGGAAGACCTACCTGGTTGCAGGTATTAATATCCACACCATTCCTTAGATGGTCTAGAGCTTTGTCCAGGTTCCCTGATCGTGCCGCTCGGAGGAAGCTGGTCGCAGCATCGGCCTGGGAGAGGAAAAGAAAGAAACGGTTAGACGATTAAATAAGTAAGACCCAAGACTCCCAAAGGTTTAATTAACTGATTGTTCCTCAGTCTGTCCATGTGTGTGTGTGTGTGTGTGTGTGTGTGTGTGTGTGTGTGTGTGAAATATAAATCCCTTGCATGAAAAATTGAGCCCACCGGGGGCACAATTATTGTTTGGGTTTCCTTTGGATATTCCTAGTGGACCATCCATGACATTGACCCCGATTGTTGTCATATAGTGAGCCCGTAATCCCTTGTGGGGTGGAGTCAGGACAACTGAATGGAATTGAGCGTTTACTGGCCGGATGCCTTTCCTGTTGCCAATGTGGAGTTCTATTCAGCTGATGGATTCTTCATTGTGGCCAGAGAGAGAAATGTCCACCTCTACCTAGGATCGAACTCACAACCTCCTGACTGTGAGGCGAGAGCTCCACATCAAGGCCACTGGATCACTCGACACTGAACCTGATAAGGGGTGCTATTTTTAGCAAGGCCTGCTGTTCCTCACCATCTGCAGCCCTACCTAAGCACACCTGGTGCCTTCCTCCAACACATTTGTTACAATCTTGGTAAGCCCTATTGTGGCTGATGGGTGGGTTTTGGCTTCTATGCTAATCGGCCCAGCTGTGGTGAGCGCCAGGATATAAAATTGTAGCCTTGGAGATAATACAATCCTCTAGCATCCCATCTCCTTTTCAAGTGGGTGGGGCTAAACAGATTTACAGACACCCTACACCAGCGGTCGCCAACCAGGGGCCCACTGGTGGGCTGTGAGAAAATTTTGGTGGGCCGCAGAGAAATCTCACCCCCAGATCAACCCCCCTACAAAGCAATTAATCCAGGCTGTGCAGAAACACAAGGCTGAGCTGCCCACATGGCCCGCGGGAACCCTCCCCACCCACTCACTCCTTGCCTGCTAAATTGCTATTTTTCCTTTTTCCGACCATCAGCTGTTCTGCTATGCCGGGAGATTTAGATTAGCTAGGAAGCAGGAAATGGTTGGATTTCTTGCTTTCTAGCTAGTCTTTAGATCTTCAGCTCTGCTTTTAAGCACAGCCGAACCTCCCTTAGGACTGAAGATTCAGTGCAGACCCACGGCAAGCAAATTTTATGTGACAGACTGAGCTAGCCAATGGCAGATAGCTAGATCACTGAATGATCCTGTGAACAACTCAATCTGCCTGCCTGCTTTGCCTGATTTTGGGTAAAAGTTGCTGTTTTATAAAAAATTCAATATTTATATAAATGTTTATAATATTTACATAAAAGCCATGCCCAGCCAGTCACATGACCACCAAGCCACACCCACAAATTGGGCCACACCCACAGAACCAGATCCCTGGGATTTAAAATTATGAGTTTGGTGGTCCCTGAGGTGCAAAAGGTTGGCGACCCCTGCCCTACACCATTCCTGACAGATGGCAGTCCAGTCTCTTCTTGAAAGCCTCCAGGGATGAAGCTCCCACAACTTCTGAAGGCAACTTCTGTTCCATGAGTGGATTTCTGCAGAGTTTATAGATTGCCACCAGGTTTGTCAACCTTTCAGAAGTCTCTAAAGATCTGCTTTTGCCAACAGGCCTGGGTGATCCAGAGAGGGATGAGGTCTATAAAGTGGCTTATTTTATAGTTGCTGCCAGGGTTGTGAGTGCTTATCGTTTATAGTTCGTATGTTTTTTTTTAAATGTTTTTGTAAGCCAGCCAGAATCACTGAGACTGAGTGGGTGGCACTCACAAGTAAGTAAGTAAATAAATAAATCTAGACTGCCAATCAATCAAGCCACAGTCTGACAAAATTTGAAAGCCGTTTATCAAAATTGTTTTTCCAAAGAAATCATTTAAAAGCTGGTAAAACTGCAGCAGACACCTCTTTTTAAAAAAAGCAGAGAACCTGTCATGTCAGTTCTGAAGACTCTGAAGTCAATATTGCTACACGGCCCAAGTTTGAATGTTTGCAGCTTCTTCCTACATTCCTTTTGTGCATCTGGCCATGCGCACTTCAGAGGAAACCCAGCAACGGTTGAATTTTCATCCTCCTTTCTTTCAGTTTTCCCTTGCATCTTGTGAACATCTTCACAAAGTTTCTCCGGCAAAGTCATTTCTTGACAATGAACCTCATCCTAATCAATGTACAGAAACGTGAAGTATCCAGTGTTCTAATTTGACACCTCAAGATCGATATTTATTTACATTGAGCAAGGAGTCTTAGTGGACAACCAATGAAAGATGAGCCAACAGTGTGCAGCGGCAGCCAAAAAAGCCAATGCAATCCTAAATTGCATTAACAGAGAGATACAATCGAGATCAAGTGAGGTATTAACACCACACTATAAAGCATTAGTAAGACCACAGCTAGAGTACTTCATCCAGTTTTGGTCACCACACTATAAAAAAGATGTTGAGACTCTAGAAAGAGTGCAGAGAAGAGCAACCAGGATGATGAGGGGACTGGAGACTAAAACATACAATGAACGGTTGCAGGAACTGGGTTTGGCTAGTCTAGGGAAGAGAAGGACCAGGGGAGACAGGATAGCAGTCTTCCAACATTTGAGGGGCTGCCACAGAGAGGAGGAGGGGGTCATGCTATTTTCCAAGACACCTGAAGGCCAGACAAGGAAGAATGGATGGAAACTGAACAAGGAGAAATTTAACCTGGAAATAAGGAGAAACTTTCTGACAGTGAGAACAATCAACCCATGGAACAGAAGTTGCCTTCGGAAGTTGTGGAAGCTTCATCCCTGGAGGCTTTCAAGAAGAGACTGGACTGACATCTGTCAGAAATGGTGTAGGGTCTCCTGCTTGGGCAGGGGGTTGAACTAGATCAGGGGTGTCCAACCTTGGCAACTTGAAGACTTGTGGACTTCA